ATATAAATGTTGATCAGATAAATGCCATCTTTCTTACTCTTAGTAAAAGAGTGTAACCTTCATTATATGATTAGTGACATGTGGAATCATAGAGTATTGGAACTGGATCAGACACTATATATTGCTTAATCAACCTCATTAAAAAACAATTAAAAAATTTGGTAAAGGCCCTAAATGGTTTGGCTCAGTGGATAGAGTGTCGGCCTGTGGACTGAGAGGTCCCGGGTTCGATTCCAGTCAGGGACATGTACCTTGGTTGCGGGCGCATCCCTAGTGGGGGTTGTGCAGGAGGCAGCTGATCGATATTTCTCTCTTATCAGTGTTTCTAACTCTATCTCTCTCCTTTCCTCTCTGTAATAAAATCAATAAAATATGTTTTTTTAAAAACTGATAAAATCTGGATTGAGTTTGGGGAAAAGTGCTCTAGACTTGGCAGAGATCACACAGCAGGTTACTGACAGAGTGCTATGTTTCCTGACTTCCAAATATGTTGCGATTTTTCTTTTCTGTCCTGTAGCCTGAGCAGCAGACTGATGACCTCCTGAGAATGACAGAATCCTGGTTCTCTTCTTTATATCGGGACCCTCTGGAGCTCTTTCGTGGCATCAGTAACCAACCCTTCCCTGAACTCCACTGTGGTGCCTTAAAAGTGTTCACGGTAGGCAACCCCTTCTTTCCCACAGGTCCTCCGGGACTCTGTCTGTTCAACACATGAGTGCTTTCACTGAACCAGGAACTGTGCCATGTTCCAGGATACACAAGTGCATAGTAGTTTCTGGCCTCTGCTGTTACTATGACTAACGAGGGAGACAGGTGAGTGTACATACAGTTTCAGTAAATGGTATTAGATGCTGTGGCAGAGCACAGAGTACTATGAGTTCACAGAATTAATTCCAGATTCCTTATCTACCATCAAGTAAGCCCTTATTGTCCTAACCAGTCTCCTTCATGAGCCTTATTTCTGGCCCTTCCCATTCTGGCCCTTAATGCTCTAGTGATACCAAACTGCTTGCTTCATTTCGCTGGGCCTTCATGTGCCTTCTGTTTTAAACATTCTTCCCTGAGTTTGCTTGTTAACATCTTACTCACACTTCAAGGACTGATCAGGTATCTCTTCAGTGAGCTTTGTTCAAACCCACAAGGTTGAGTTAATAAATGTTGGCTCTTGTATTTTGCATGTATTTATTCATTCAGCAAAAACTTTTAAAACATATTTTTGTTGATTTCAAGAAGGAAAGGAGAGAGAGAGAGATAGAAACACCAATAATGAGAGACTCATTGGTCAGCTGCCTCTGGCTCAGCCCCTACAAGGGTTTGAGCCTAATTGAACCATGACCTCCTGGTCAGCGCTTAATCACTAAGCCATACCAGCTGGGCACATTCAGCAAATATTGATTTTTTTGGTGGGGTTTTTTTTGCTAGGTGCTAGGGATACAATAGTGAACAAAAATATACAAAGACCTTCCTTTCATGTAGCTCACTGTCTGTTGAGGGACCCAGACAGTAAGTGTAATTGTATAGTTCATTATAGAATTAGAGTTGTGGTAAGGATTATACCTCTGCGTTCTATTTAATACATTACTAGTGGCCCGGTGCATGAAATCCATGCACTCGGACTGGGGAGGGTCCCTTAGCCCAGCCTTTGCCCTCTCACAGTCTGGAAGCCCTCAGGGGATATCTGACTGCTTTGGAGGTGAGAGAGGCTCCAGCCACCACCACTGTGCTCACCAGCCTTGAGCCTGGCTTCTGGCTGAGCAGCACTCAGGGGATGCACTGACCACCAGGGGGCAGTTCCTGTGTTGAGCATCTGCTCCCCGGTGGCCAGTGCACATCATAGCAACTGGTCGTTTCACTGTTCGGTCAAATATTAGCCTTTTATTATATAGGACAGTAGTTGGCAAATTGCGGCTCACAAGCCACATGCAGCTCTTTGGCTTCTTGAGTGTTCTAACGCCACTTCTTCAAAATAGACTCACCCAGGCCGAAAACCGACTTCTGCGCATGGGCCATGAAATTTCAATCACACTGTATGTGCATGCCCACACATGGTATTTTTTGGAAGAGCCGCATATGGCTCGCGAGCCGTGGTTTGCCGACCACTGATATAGGATGTTGAAAATGTTTATTTATTAACCTGTTAAACAGAGTTTGTTGAGAATAGGAACCATAATTGATGTTTCTTTGTAGTCCTAGCATTTACCATATAACCAATTTATTTATTTTTTAATAAATATTATTATTGTTTATTTCATTTTTGTATTATAATTTATTTACCCCCTCACTGTTAGACATTTATATTATAACTGTCACACTGTAATGAATATCTTTTTTAAAAATATCTTTATTACCAAAACCGATTTGGTTCAGTGGATAAAGCGTTGGCCTGCGGACTGAAGGGACCCTGGTTCGATTCCAGTCAAGGGCATGTGCCTTGGTTGCGGGCACATCCCCAGTGGGGGGTGTACAGGAGGCAGCTGATTGATGCCTCTCTCTCATCAGTGTTTCTAACTCTATCCCTCTCAATTCCTCTCTGTAAAAAAAATCAATAAAATATATTTAAAAAAAAAATATATATATATATATATCTTTATTGATTTCAGAGAGGAAGGGAGAGATAGAAATATAAATGATGAAAGAGAATAATTGATCAGCTGCCTCCTGCATGCCCCCTTGACCTGAATCAAACCCAGGACCCTTCAGTCCACAGGTCAATGCTCTATCCACTGAGCAAAACTGGCTAGGGCTATAATGAATATCTTTGTATACAAAGACTTTTTTTAACATTTAGATTTTCTTAAAGTAGGTTCCCAGGAGGGAATTTACTTGGGCAAAACATTAACATTTTTAAGGTTCATGTTGCCAAATGTTTTTTCTACGGATTGTGCCATCGACTAACAAACTTAATTTCTAAAGACTCAAAGGAATTGTGTTCTCTCTGCCTTTCATTCCAGGCCATTGCAAACCAACCCTGGGCTCAGAAACTTATGTTTAACAGTCCAGGTTTTGTAGAGTATGTGATGGACCGATCCACGGAGCATGACAAAGCTTCAAAGGATGCCAAATATGAACTGGTAAAAGCACTCGCCAATTCCAAGACAGTTGCAGAAATCTTTGGGAACCCAAATTATTTGAGACTCAGAACTTACGTGAGTGAAGGTCCATACTACGTGAAACCTATTTCCACAACAGCAGTGGAAGGAGCTGAGTGATTTCTTCTAGAATCTAAATCAATTTTGGACCAAAACTTCTCCTAAGCCATTTGACTCTCTGTATTAACAGAGACTTCTCTCCATCCAGAATTATCATAGAGTATTGAACCTAATTTTTATCACCAGCATTTGTTGTGTTTCTACATAAAGTACAGTGTGAAACCAAGAGAGCACAAACTTGCTTATAATTGAAGCAGATATTTTTCACATTCATTTGACTGTCTTATTGTTTACAAGAAGATGGAAGTTTTGTTCAAGTTTGCTTCAGCCCTGGCCAGGTGGCTCAGTTGGTTGGCGCGTCATCCTGTATACCAAAAGGTTTGAGTCCAGGTTGCAGGTTCGATTACTGGTTGGGTTGCATACATGAGGCAACCCATCAGTGTTTCTCCCTTCCTCTCTCTATAATCAATAAGTAAAATCTGCTTGAAATAAAATAGAACCAAATTGTTTCTCTTTGCCATCTTTTTTTTTTTTTTTTTAATCCTTTGCTCTCTCTTGGTTCTATTTACAAAGTTTTGGATAAAAATATTCTCTGAAAAACAAGCCAAATGGGATCTCAAAATTATGTTCTCTATAATAATAAATACTTTGAAAAGATCTTTTTCTTTTTTGTTGTTGCTATATTTCCTTTGAAAAATAAACTTTTAAAGAATGTTTCTAGTTTTCTAGATGCTTTTTAAAAAATATTTATCAATGGATTTTACTCTTGTGTTTTTTTTTTGGGCGGGGGAGGCGGAGTGGGGAGAGGAATGATAACATGCTAATTCAGAAAGTTCTCCAGACTTTATTTATTGGTGGGTCTTGTTGAGGGTTTTGCTTCTAGTTTTTCAAATTCATCAAGTCAATATTGAGTTGATCAGAGAAAGGGAAACAAACTCCCAATAGTCAAGTTAAGACAAGGTCATTAGGGTGGGCCCTAATCCAATGACTGATGTTCTTAGAATAAAAGGTAAGTTTGGAAACATATACAACACAGAGGAAATATATGAGGTCACAGCCACACAGGAGACAGCCGTGAGAAGATGGAGGCAGAGATTAAAGTGATACATCTCTAAGCCAAGGATTGCTGGCAACCACCAAAGCTAGAAGAGACAAGGAAGGATTCTCCAATACAGGCTTCAGAGAGCATGTCCCTGCTGACAACTCGATTTCGGACTTCTCATCTCTAGAACCCCAAGTGAGTAAGTTTCTGTTGTTTCTTGTCACCCTATTTGTGGTACTTTGTTATGGCATCCCTGGGAAACTAATAAAGAGTATATACATAACAAAATATGAATTTGTTACATCCTATCTATAAATCATCTAATTAGTACTTAATGAAAATCGTCTCGCAAAAAGAGGCCCAAGTCTATATACTGGTGAGGTTTGAGTTACTCCATACAAGGTAGCTAAAACTTTGAATATAATCTGCCACCCAGATTACTAAAATGTTTCCTGTTTGTAGACAAGATGAACAGTTGTTAAATTCCTTATTTTGCGTTTTCCTTAACTGCATTCTCAAAAATTAGTCACCTCTGCTATGACAGTTTTATAAGAATAAGATTTTTAAAAATTCACTAGTTGTAAAGAAACAAGACTTTTGGTTATAATTAAATTTAATGTTCTAACTTCTGGATGAGAGGTTTTATTTGGAAAAGAGTCATACTATACCAACTTACATTCTTTAAAATGATATTTCAATATGATAACAGTGTATCAGGGCACTAAAAACACTTTGCAACTTTCTGAGTACAATTAAAACTACATAAAGCACAAAGTAGGAAGGGTAGTTTCTGTAATAAGGTTGGAGGTTAATTTAAAAAGAACACACGTATAAGGAAAAGAAATCCTAATCCCCAGAATATATGGCATTGTTTTTTACGGTACCAATATGAAAACGTTTAAAGCTGTCAAGGTATGTCAGAAGCTTGCAGGAAATTAGCCCAGAGTAAGTTTCCAACAGTGTACATTCTTTTCCATCATTAATTTCCTTCCATGCCAAGGGCACTTCGGCATCAGTAGTTTCTGAAGATGTGAAGATGAACTTATAGCAACATCTGTTGTATCTGATGTGTCTTTTCCCAGAAAACCTTGAACTATGGATGGGTATGAGGCCAACAAGCTTGGCACAAATCCCTACAAACACATCAGCAGGTACCATAATGGGTACTTCTTTGAAAACTATATACATCATCCGAGCCACGTCTTGGGACATAATAAAAGCCTCACCACTGCAGTAATCCGGGTAGTACTTTTCTGGGTATTCGATAAGAGGCACAAATTCTTGGCTAGTAGGGTCTCTATTGGGCATATCCTGGTGGATAACTCTTCCTACATAGATATCTTCAAGGTGTGCTTTCAGATTGAGAAGGTAACTGATCAGGCTCAGTAGATTGACAAATACATCTTCATCAACTTTGAGAATGAATAAAGCATTAGGGCAGAAGGTCACAGCCCACTGGGTCATTGTGATGATCTTTAGAGTTTGGTTCTCGGCACTGTCCAGAAAGATTCCTTCGATTATATCGTTATTTGCATAGGACTCTTGGTCTATCTCCTGCTGGGTACTTGCCAAAATAGGCATCCCCAAAGCAAACAGTGTGAGGATGGGATGCCCTTGGACACTGGTCATGTTACCCCAGGTTTTTCTGATGAGGTCCCGTCTTGTCCGATTTCCGGGGCTACTGAAGATGAGAGAGAGCAAAAATATATCCTTCCCTTTACACACCTCCGACTGGCTCAAGACGTAATATTTGGAAAGGTTACTTCTCAGGGGCTCCGTGTTCAATTTTCTTGCCCTAGCCTTAATTTCAAGAACTTTCATATCTACGTAAGGCAAAGCATGCAAAAAGTATTCTTCCACAAAATCAGCCCCAAAAAACAAGGCATGGAATAGGATAACGTTAAACAGAATGAAACACCACTGGTGAGTCCGAAGTCTGCAGAATGTCACCTAAATAAGGAAAGGACACATGTTCATTCAACCTTCCTCTCCATTTCTGTTTTTGCCCTCATCAAACACTAACTATATCTCTTACAACACTTAGTGGCACACTATTGTGTTTCTTTTTGTTAATCTGTCCCCAGCTAGATCATGGCCTTATGGACAGCAGGCATCATGCCTATATCTCTTCTCCAGTAGTGCTGAGTTCAGTGTTTGGCACAAAGGGGAAACTGAATAAAATGTTGATGGTTTTCTTGCCTGCTTACTATATACAAGGCTCTGTGTCAAAGCAGAGTCCCAGTAGGCACATGGATATAAAGTAACAAGTGGTTAAAAGCCTATAGGAAAATACATGATGTTCTTTCTGGAACTGGAAGATCTTGGATCAGTTTCTTCTCTAATTACAAAGGTCAAGGGCTATTTTTCAACGACAAGGTTGCTTTTGTTGGCCGCTGCACGACGGCTACTATCAAACATTTACATTATTCCAGTATGACTTTTCAACTTACTCTAATACTTAATTCTGATATTGTCTGTTTTGACAATGTTCCTTAAAATCCATCTGAGATGTCTGTCAATATGGGCATATTCCTGCTATCTGCTTAGCATCCCATTCATAGATCTAGGACAGAGTGGTGCCAAGCTAATGTCACTTTCTTAAAGGAGATGGCAACTTTCCATCTAGAAGAGTATATGCAGTTTTATAATATAATAGATCCAGGAAACATTAAGGGAATTAAATCCCTGTTCATTGGCGCTTCCATCAACAAAACCTCCATAATAACAGGTACTTCTCATTGAACACTTGTCATGGGCCAGTTTGCACGCCTTAATCATGTAGCCATGGCAATATCCCTTTCAGGTAGGTTTTTCAAAATTAAGCTCTGCATTGAGCTGTTGAGTAATTTGCCTAATATCATTCAATGTGTAAGGGGGTGGAGTACAGCCATGACTTGAAAAGTATGTCAAATTCCAAAGCTCACTTTTAACTACTAGAGAATCCTGACTCCTATCTTTTACTTTTCCATGTCTGTTGAATAGGAAAAAACAACCAAACCAAAGTCCTGATATTAGAATCTGAATGCCTTTCCATTTTCTCAGTACTGATTATTTGTACATGAAGAAACTCCAGCCACCTCAAAGGCTATTGTAATAGATAGCAAATGCTTCAGAGATTATAAGAAACTTACCTGCATGTTGTCTGTGAGCAATTTCAGGGCTTTGAAAATTACTGAGTCCAGATGCCAAATTATGCCCAAATGTCTTTCAGGATCAAGTCAGTCTAACCGCAATTGAAGTAAAGTACTTTGTGCTTCAGACTTTAAGGATAAGGTTTCTAGCCAATCAACCTGAGCTTTGTCCCAGAATACCTGCTGGCTGTGTAGGAGAGCAAGTGCTGATCATGTTACAGCTAGAGTGAATCCAGAACAAGGAGTTAAAAAAAAAGCAAACCTCTTCAAATGCTTCCACTCTTCTGTACCTCTTGAAACTGACCTTTTGTCTTTACGCCAGTTTCTGATGAAGTATGACTGGGAGTTGAAAGAACAGTTCACTCATACCACCTCTCCACAGCATCATCACACAAGGAGAAATGTCATATAGTATTTCTGGAGTGCATCTCATGCAACTGAACAGTTGACGTAATTCATGCCCCCCACACATGCACATGCATGAAAGGTAATAAACATTAAGGAATATGTTTCATACCCGTTGATGCAATTTTTCTCCCCATATAAACAAATGGTGAGGTTTGGGGTGTGTTTCATTGGGAAGGATTTTGAATTCTTAGTGTAGGCTATGGAAAGAGCTTTACTAAATATGTCACCCAATTACCTCTCCCAGGTAACTAGCCCAGAATGGAAAATAACATACACGTTATTTTAGCCTGAATTGAAGAGACTGAGCATCTGATATTTAGCATCAGCTATGTTCCTAGAGCATATATATGTAGGAATTATCTCAAGCATTGTTTCCACCACTAAGTTTAATATCAGGAAAAACAGCATCCAGCATATTTTCATGTTTCTGTCACAGAAGCAGTTGTACTGAGTACTCTGTTACCAGACCAGGCTATTTTTTCCCTCTTTCTTCTTTTCATATGTTGATTTTCCTACAGGATTTTCAGTTTTTGTAATTACTTGACTAGGAATAACTCATTACATTTAAAGTTGACTATGTTGCCGAAACCAGTTTGGCTCAGTGGTAGAGCGTTGGTCTGCAGACTGAAAGGTCCCAGGTTCGATTCCGGTCAAGGGCATGTACATTGGTTGCGGGCACGTCCCCAGTAGGGGGTGTGCAGGAGGCAGCTGGTCGATGTTTCTCTCTCATCGACGTTTCTAGCTCTCTATCCCTCTCCCTTCCTCTCTGTAAAAAAATCAATAAAATATATTTTTTTAAAAAATTAAAAAAAATAAAGTTGACTATGTTTTCTCAACAATCATTGCTTAATATTGGAACTTTTTACAAAGTTGGGAAACCATTCAATGAAAGGGGTTTTTTACATATACTAAATCTAACAAATAGGTCTTGGAGATATTGAATTGAAAACATCCTATTTTGCAATTTTTATAGACCCATATATTTTGGTCCTGGGTTTCCTCTGAGCTTAAACTTAGAGAATTTTGTTTCTTTGTCCATAACAGGTTCACACAATATATTGCCTCTGGAGCAGCTCCATCTGGAATTTCCAGTTTGAGTCATCAAACTCCTACATATTTGGATTGAGATTATTTGCTGGCAACATATAGAGATGTTTGGTTTTCTTGATTACCTTAGTACTGCCTTCTCTTTCATGGGGGTTATCTGATCGGTGTACTCATGTCTTCCTACATTTTCTTAAAATGTTGTTAATAGTGACTCTGTGTCTTAGAAGCCTGCAGAGTCATCCTGTTGCCTACTAAATCAAATGTGCTCTCTTGAGACCTAACTTTCTAGGACATCATACTTGGCTCCACCCCACACAGTCATTTTTCATTTCCCATGTTTCAAGTACTGTAGATGGATCCAGGCTATTTGGAGTCCTGCTCAACACTAACTGTATATGTGACTGTCTTACATTTATATTATGTGTTATGCCTATATCACTCAACTGAGCTGTCCAGCATAGTAGCCATAAGCCACATGGTCCCAGGACTTCGCACAGGGCCCACACTGACCATTTAATTATTTTTGTTGCTTTTGAGAGAGCAAAAAAGCAGAGAGAGAGAGAGAGAGAGAGAGAGAGAGAAAGAGAGAGAGATATTGAGATTTGTTGTTACACTTATTTAATGCATTCATTGGTTGATTCTTATGTGTGTCCTACCACGCATATTGGGATGGTGCTCTAATCAATTGAGCTACCAGCCAGGGTCAAAACTTCAATTAATTAAAATTAAATACAATTAAGATTTTATTTCCTTAGTCACATTAGGTAATTTTCAAGTGTTTGAGAGCCACCAGAGGTTACTAACTGCCCTATTGGACAGTGCAGATAGAGAATACCGTTGCTGAAAGTCCTATTGGACACTGCTGGTATAAGATGCATGTAGTGTGCGTGTGCACGCATGTGTGTGTATGTGTGTGTGCACACTCGTACATGAGATTTATGAGCCCTTACGGAGAGATAAAGATACATATGCTCTGAAGAAGGCCTATGTTAGAATATTCTTTTGACCTGGGTTTCTCTATCTCTAAAAATGGAGCTGATAATAGTAACTAGCATGTAGGGTTGTGGTGGGAATTGAAAATAACATAAAAAGTAGCTTGACACTAAAGATTGTTTCATCTCCTTAGTTCTCAAAATGATCAGATGAGGAAAATAAAACCAGAGGTTAAGTAACTAGGCTGTGAGCACAGCCAGAGAGTTTAAGAGTTGAGGTTCAAGTAATAATCTTGAGTAATCTCTTTCTTTCCCTCACCAACCTTAATTTTTTCTCCTTAGCACTTGCTAAAGTTTGCATCATGTCTTATTTATTTGTCTGTCTCTCCCACTAGGAGATATGCCTCAGAAGGTCAGGATTTTTGTGCTTTTTGTTCACTAACCCTATCCCTTGAACATAATAAACGTTTGAGACATAATAGGTGCTTAGTAGGTTGTTTGACTTTGGACATGTCTCTTAACTTCTCCTCCGTCTCCTCCACGAAGTGAGAATAACGGAAAAAGTGCCTCAGAGTTGGAGCAAGACCAGATTGGAACATAAATGCGCTGGCTATAGTCCCATATTCTGGAAATAAGCTTAGGTCCAGGCTCCACAACTGTCGAGAGAACCGTACTGCGCATGCTCCGCCGCCCTCGCCGCTCTCAGCCTGCTGCTTCCCCCTTGAGGCGGGGGCCGGAAGTGCAGCCGCGTCCGCTGGGCGCCGCGGGCGGAGGGACGCACGGAGATGACGCAAGCAGCACCGGAAGCCGCTCCCCGGTTGGGTAGCGGACGGAGAGCGGCGGCCGCGGGTCCAGGTCTGTTCTCTGTACGAGGCGGGGCCGGTCGGGGAGGGGGTTCGCAGCCGCCCGAGCTTCTGCTGACCCGCCGCGCCCCCGGCCGTTGTTGTTTTTCTCCCTGCAGGCGCCATGGCTGTGGAGCGGACCCGGCCGCTGCGAGGCTCTGGCGGCCGGAGCGCGCCTGGTCGGTGTGGGCCCCGCGCGAGGTCCCGGGCCCTGGGGCGCTCGCTCAGGTCAGTGCCGCGCGGAACACGCTCCCGGAGCCGGGGACCCGGGAGCCACGGACGGGTGGAAGGGCTCTGGAGTTGATGTTAGACTTGGGAACATGGAGCCTCGGAGTTACTGCCTCAGTTTCCTTGGCTGCGAAATGCGTTGGCAGTGACGCTCCAGGGCTGCCCTGAGGTTGAAAGATGAAGTGTGGAAAGGTGGTGTATGAAGTGCAAGCGCTGTACTAACGTGAGGGACTGCGCCGTAGGTGTGGGTATGCCATGGAAACAGGTGTGTATGTTGGGTGCTGCTTGAAATAAAGTGACAGTATTGATGCTAATGACAGTGGTTACTGGTATTTCTTGTAGGCTTACCAGTGTGTCAGGTACGGTGCTAAACGTTTCACATACAGTATACAAACATCCCTGTAGGCAGCGTTGTTCATGGTTACAAGTGGCTACAACTTGATTTTACAAGTGAGGAAACTGGGCTTTTGCAACAGGTGACGTGATTTGCCCAGGGACACCCGACAGCAAGTGGAGTGGCAGAGCCCTTATTTTTTATTCTATTTGTATTATTTCAAAGCTTTTAGATGGATAATATGTTCACGTAGTTTTCAACTTAAAAAAGAAGGGGGGGGGCCCTTACTCTTAATTCCTCAGCTCTTCAGTTTCCTCTGGAGACAACCAGTGTTACCAGCTTCTTGAATGTTGAAAAGATATTCCGTGTATGGGAAAGCCTCTGTGCTTCTTAACTGCTGACTATGCTTGGTAAGAGGAAGGTGAAGCCTCCCCCCAAAAAACAAAGGTCTTGCTTTTGCCCTTGACCAGGCCAGGTGCTGGTGGAGGAGAGGTACATGCATTCACCATGTTTTACCCAGAATGCCATCTCTCTATATAAGACCTAGAGGTAGAGATTTTTTTTTGTTTTGGGAGGGTGGGGGCAGGGCAAGATGTTGAGCCCGCTGCTTTCTGTGGGACCCTAGGAAAGTCACTCCACTTCTTGGGCCATAAATGTCCTCACTTATTAGTTAAGGGCAGTAGTACTGATACCTTACACAAGGTTGTGAAAACCAAATGAGGTAATGTCTCCCATTTAGGAGTCTTTTTATCACACCACCCATTTCAGAGCTTTGTGATTGAGGGCAGGAGGGCAAGTTTGATGTGTAGTCTTAAACGGAGGGAAAAGTGCCAGGTAGCATGAGTGTGGGTAGAGTGGAGAGAAAAATACACCTGGTGGGAAACTAGCCCCAAGTTGATAACTGCTCTTAATTATTAAAATTAAATTCCCACTAAGATATATTTTCTTCCATATATCTTAAGCCATTTTAAGAGAAACTTTGTGAGTTCAAAGGGATGTTAGTGCTCACATCCCTTTCAGTCTCAGGGTCACTAAAAACTTTTTCTGCTAGGTGTTTATAACAAAAGTGCCATTTGGGTTACGACTGAGCTCTGTGCTAAGCATGTCCCTGCCCTATTTCTGATTTTCACAACTCTCAGCGTGAGTGATAGCTGAATCAGTAAACATTTTGACTGACTTTAAAGCATCTTCATTCTGCCTTTGTATCCAGTTGTCTTTGACTGTTCCCGGGAGTGGAATCTCACTACTCTGGAGGCAGCTGTTCCATTATTAAAAAGCGCTGGTGATTTAAAAGCTCTGCCTCACACTGAATTGAAATCCCACTTCCTGAAGTTTTTCCTTTTGGGGCCTTAATGCTGCCAGTACATAGTGCATACTCCTAGAAGCTTTCTTCTAAATGTGGTCAGTTTAGCCTGTGGCCTTAAGAAAATTCCCTTCAAAGTTGGTTAATTTTTTTAGAAAAGTGAAAACTGGTGTTTTGGTTTTTTTCATGATGCAGAAATTTTTAATAAATAGAATGCCAATTCTATTTATTACAGCTATAGGGATACCAAACTAAACTGTTCTTGTCGTCTCTGGAAAAGCTCTAGAAGAAATCAGAATGGTGTTTTTAAATCATGCATTCTGCTGAGTTAATGGGATTGCTTTATTAAAATAAAGATTCTTTTTATTTTTTATGACAGTCAGAGATGAAGAACTAAAAAACAGCCACCCATAAGAGGTTCAGTAGCTTAACGGGCACTCTCTAATTGTAAGGATTTGGGGAAAATTTTCTTAGGAGTTAGGAGAATACAGAATTCTTAGAAATGGCTGTTTGTTTGTTTTTTTAAATAATGATGCTCACTGAAAATCTTGTTCCTGTCTTCTGTGGTGTCATGGGCACATGGCATGCTGTAGGATGTCTCTTAAGTAGGAATAATGGGAACCTGACCATGTTTTCTTGGGTATTATAAATTTGTCTTGTGGCCATTTAAATAACAATTCCGTTTTCATTAATGGAAGCATTTTTGTAATGAATATGTGGAAAATTTTATGAGTGTAGGTGTTAGAGGAAACTATTCCCTTTTTCACTAAAAAATTATTCTGGCAGATGTTTTGATGTATGTTTTTAATTGGCCAATATTAAGTTATTAGCTGTTGTGACATTGTATAAATGTTCATCTAAAAGGGTTGTTTTTGTCTTGCTGTGAATGCCTTTTTTTAAAGTAAAAATTTTTTTGAAGTGTTATAGATTGATTGTTAGGTTTGAGAGGCTTGTTATCTTGTTTTAAATTGATAAAACTTTTGGTGAACTGATTATTTTTTGGCAGCCAATCAAGTTCTTAAATTAATAAATCCTACCTAGCCCAAACCCTGAGACTTCAAGAGCATTATTTTAAAGTTCTAAAAAACAAAACTAGATTAAATAATTAGTTGCTTCTATTTTTTTTTTTTTTTTTTTTTTTTTTTTTTTTGCCTAATAACATTCTTGCCAACTTAATATTGGGGAAATTAATAAAAATCATTCTTACTCACCTTGCATTAACAAAGTTAAAGATGAGATCTAGCTTTTTGTATAGACATATATAGGAAGGAATTTATTTTCCTCTTCCATATTAATTTGGACATTTTAAAAATTAGTCTGATAATCTGGTAGAAAATTGATCAGATTAGAAGGAATGTTTTTTTCCTTTTTTTAATCATGGAAATGTTAAACATGTAAAAATAAAGAGAATAATAGATCTTCATCACCCAGCACTATCAACATATGGCCAATCTTGGGGAAAATGGTTTTTACTGATTTGCTTTATTTTTGTTCTTTATCCGTTAGTTTAGTCCCCATTGTTAGAAGTGATTTGACACTTTGACACGCTGTATTGCTAGATACTGCAAATTTTTTGTTCCAGTTAGCCCTGGAGCAATTTGTCATTGTCCTAAGGGGGTAGGTGGTATAATCACAAAGGCACCTCGCCCCCAGATGGCCCCCAGATCGCATTACAAGGTTGTGATGCTCCTGGTTGTAGCTGACTTCAGAGAGAGACAGCTTGATCTGGTTGGAAAATTACTGATCTTGAGAGCACTGGCTTCCAGTCTGTTCTGCTGCTGTTTTAGCTCTGTTGACTATAGGCAAATCACTTATCTCCTCTGATCTGTAACTTCCATGTCTGCAAAGTGGAGATGATACCTGGTTTTTGGTGTTTTGTAAGCATCAAAAATACTAATTTGTTCAGACTTCTAAGACACACACAACTCTGGGGCACATGGTTAAGATTTGTCACCAACTCACATGAGGCTTATAAAAAATAGACTGCGTAAGGCCAAATAAGGCTTTTGGTAACTCATGTTCTAACAGGCAGTGCCATAAAGGAAGTGGCAGAACCAGAATACCTGAGCTACCTAGCTTATTAAATCTGCTTATTTTTCTTCCCCAAACATTTATGCCTGTACATCTATTACAAAAGCCAGCAATGAGTTCTGTGGTTTTGGTTCAGGTCAAAGTGTATCTAGCATGATAACTAATGTGTCAGGTTGTTGCTCCAGACTTGCTTTCTGGTTGTCACACCATGGTGCTTATTATTGTGATTTTTAATGTCTAAATAGAATATATTAAGGGAATCATGTTGTGATGATTTTGATGAAGGAGGAGCATATTATATAAAATACATTGTTTTCATAATGAATGAATGCTTTGTAAATCTTTGTGAAAATGCATGTAGCATGTGCTAGACTTCAAAAGGAGCAAGTCACACACATCAACATAAGTTTCATTGACTTATGTTTTAGAGATCATGATTTGTTAAAGAATGTTTTCTCAAATGTATTTTCTTTTGTGTGCATGGAAAAATGTTGATACAGTGTATTAACTGTTAAGTTGTAATGTTGTAACTAAGCATAAAGTTGTAATGCCAAAATTTTTATACTAATTTTTAATACTTCATTTGTTAGTAGTCTTGCTTGAACGGTCTTTTGAGCAGAACTAATACAATATTTTGATGTGCCACAGGTAAATTTTTCCATAACCTTATGGAGAGAAAGGACTTTGAGACATGGCTTGATAACATTTCTGTTACATTTCTTTCTCTGACGGACTTGCAGAAAAATGAAACTCTGGATCACCTGATTAGTCTGAGTGGGGCAGTCCAGCTCAGGCACCTCTCTAATAACCTGGAGACTCTCCTCAAGCGGGACTTCCTCAAACTCCTGCCCTTGGAGCTCAGTTTTTATTTGTTAAAATGGCTCGATCCTCAGACTTTACTCACATGCTGCCTCGTCTCTAAACAGTGGAATAAGGTGATAAGTGCCTGTACAGAGGTGTGGCAGATTGCGTGTAGAAATTTGGGCTGGCAGATAGATGATTCTGTTCAGGACGCTTTGCACTGGAAGAAGGTTTATTTGAAGGCTATTTTGAGGATGAAGCAACTGGAGGACCATGAAGCCTTTGAAACCTCATCATTAATTGGACACAGTGCCAGAGTGTATGCACTTTATTACAAAGATGGACTTCTGTGTACAGGTAAGGAACCCTGGAACTGCTCTTTTTTTCCCTTCCCAATAGTGATTTTGGGGAAAAACCATTGAAGTTGAGTTTAGTCCAAGCAAGTAGTTAGATCTTCTTGGAAGAATTACAACCTCTCTGTTTTTTGTTTCCTTCTTTGTCTGTCCTAGTTAAGAAGGCAGATCTTTCTTGTTTTAAATTCCTGTGGTGCTAAGAAGAATTAGAAGTTAAGAGTTTGGGCATGGGAACAAATACAGTGGATATTTTAACTACCAGTAATTTCATATAACAAATATCATTAAAATTTAAGATTATGTATATCTTCCAATTATAATGGGTATGTGTTTCTACATACAATTATAGTCACTGCCCACATTTTAAGCAGTATATTTTGATAGGCATTGTAAATAATTCTTAGTGATTCAAATGACTCTCAGCAATTCTTATCAATGACCCCAATACATATTCGCTTTTTTTGTATATAACATATAGGGATACTTTGTGTTCTTTCTTCATCCAAGATAATTTCTAGTAAATGTTTGAGTATTACCTAAATTATTAAACTATTTTTCATAATGTATACTGTTCTTTTGTGTAAATATATCATCATTATGTAGCCATTTCCATTAATATGCAAACAAGTAAATGTCTTGTTTGCATATTTTCCCCTTGAATTATTTATTTGGGGCAGAAGTCTTAAGGTAGAATCATCAGATCCAGAAATATGAATGATTTTATAGCTCCTCTTAGTATCCTTTCCAGATAGGTTGAATTGATGCCATGCCTACAGCAGTCTTAAATAACCTGCTTCTCCCTCAGAGTTCTATCAGATTGAATTTTAATATTTATTTAAAAATGTTTACAGCTAAAACCAGTTTGGCTCAGGGTAGAGCGTCGGTCTTCGGACTAAAGGGTCCCAGGTTCGATTCTGGTCAAGAGCATGTACATTGGTTGCTGGCACATCCCTGGTAGGTGCTGAGCAAGAGACAGCTGGTCGATGTTTCTCTCTCATCGACGTTTCTAACTCTCTATCTCTCTCCCTTCCTCCTCTCTGTAAAATATCAATAAAATATATTTTAAAAAATGTATACATATATATATTAAAGAAGTGGAGAAAGCGAGAGAAACATCAGTGTGAGAGACACATCCATTGATTGCCTCTCACATGCACTCCCACCAGGGCTGAAGATGGAATCCAGATACATGCCCTTGACTGGGAATCAAGAGACTCTAACTATTCAACCATACTGGCCAATTTTAATATATTTTTTTATTAAAATATATTTTATTGAGTTTTTACAGAGAGGAAGAGAGAGGGATAGAGAGTTAGAAACATCGATGAGAGAGAAACATCCATCAGCTGCCTCTTGTACAACCCCTACCGGGGATGTGCCCACAACTAAGGTACATGCCCTTGACCGGAATTGAACCTGGGACCTTCCAGTCCGCAGGCCAACGCTCTATCTGCTGAGCCAAACCGGTCTTGGCCAATTTTAATATTTTTAATAGTTAAGAGAGAGATTATTTCTCATGATTGTTTTAAATTTTTATTTCTGACTCATTGAGGATACACATTTTGTTATATTACCCAAAATAGTTTGTTTTATAAAATAAACATTAAATGTAAGGCACTTCCTGGTTTTGTTTGTCATACTGAAGTTACTCCATGCTTACCCTGTTTTCCTATAAGCATGATTATTGGAACATCATTTGTTCTTTTATTCTTTAATGTATTTTCTTAGTTGTGGTGATGGCTTTTCCATGTCCTTTTTGCCTCATAATCAATGGCAGGTATTTAACAATTTTTTTAAAGCTTGAGATGCAGTGTTAACTCACTTGTACTTAGGTAAAGACTGGCAGTTGACTCATTTTCAGAACCACTTCTAGCTTTAAAAAATCTCATCAAACTTTACATTTGTGTATGTATGTTTAATCCTCACTGAGGGTATTTTTTCCATTGATTGTTAGAGAGAATGGAAGGGAGAGAGAGAGTCAGAGAGAGAAAAACATTGATTGATTGCCTCCTGCACATGCCCCGCCAGCACTGGGGATCAAGCCTGCAACCAAAATAAATAATTCAATTCTATGTACCCTTGATTGCAACTGAACTTGCGACCCTTCAGTCCATGGGCTCTCACTACTGAGCAACCAGCCAGGACTCAAACTTTACTTTTGAAGTACAATGAAAACTTCACTTACTTGAAGCAGAAGTAAATGGGACACACTCACTGAATTATTTAACTACCCAGAAAGTTAATATTTATAAAAACTGGGCCCAATCTTGCATTTTGCAGTTATTCTGTAGGTGGGTCTCTATGTTCTGTTATTTTTTTTTAAAATATATTTTATTGATTTTTTACAGAGAGGAAGGGAGAGGGGGAGAGAATTAGAAACATCCATCAGGTGCCTCCTGCACACCCGCTACTGGGGATGTGCCCGCAACCAAGGTACATGCCCTAGACCGGAATTGAACCTGGGACCCCTCAATCTGCAGGCTGACCTATCCACCGAGCCAAACCAACTAGGGCTGTTATTTTTATTCTGATTAAATTAATCAGGTTTGCATACTGAAAATCATGCTGTGTCAAAAATAATTCAAAGCATTCATTTAATTCTATTGTAGCATCATTGAAGATAAAACCCTATACCAGCAAAAAGATATGACTCGCTGAAGGCTGCACTGTCCAGTAACACTTAATGGCTAGCCACTAGCACTTAACAGCTTTTGAGGACTAAAATATGGCTAGTTCAGCCGAGACCGGTTTGGCTCAATGGATAGAGCGTCGGCTTGGGGACTGAAAGGTCCCGGGTTCGATTCCGGTCAAGGGCATGTACCTTGGTTGCGGGCATATCCCCAGTAGGGGGTGTGCAAGAGGCAGCTGGTCGATGACTCTCTCTCTCATCTATGTTTCTAGCTCTCTATCTCTCTCCCTTCCTCTCTGTACAAAATCAATAAAATATATTTTAAAAAAATAAAATAAAATATGGCTAGTTCATACTGAGATGTGAAATACTCATTTTTGGATTTCAAAGACAGGATATAACACATTTTATTTATCTTTTAGTATATTTTTTTATTGATTTCAGAGAGGGTGAGAGAAAAACATCAGTGATGAGAGAGAATCCTTGATTGGCTGCCTCCTGCACCCCCCCTACTGGGGATCAAGCCCGCAACCCGGGCATGGATCCTTGACCGGAATCCGAGCCCCTGGAACTTTCAGTCTGTAGGCTGATGCTCTATCCACTGAATCACACGGCTAGGGCTAGCATTTTCTTAATAATTTTTATATTGATTATATGTTGAAATGGTAATTTAACGTTAAATTATATTAAATTTTTGTGTTTTTACTTTTTCAATAAAAAATCAAAATTTAAAAATACATGGCTTGCATTATATTTCTATTGAATAGCACTATTCCAGAATATTGGTTCTCAACATACTGCTCATACATTAGAATCACTTGGCAAGCTTTTAAGATTATTGGACTCCTCAGATATTCTAATTTTAGAATTTCTGAAGGTAGGGCCCTGCATATGTGCTTTGATATAGCTCCCCAGATAATTCTGATGTCTTATATCCCCACTGAGAACACCAACCAAATATAGAGAGAAAACAGTCCCTAAACAGTAAAGTTTCCATTTCAGTGTATTCTCATAGGGTTTGCCTAGGTTAAAATTAATTCTTTACTTCTTTCATAGTGATAGTTATTTTTCCATTGTCTGAAACAGTGACTCTTGACCGAACATTAAAGGTAGAATTGTGGCTGGTGTTAATTTAGTCATTTGGGGTTTTTGGCAATGGGTTACTTGGTGCTTCTCTAGACTACTGTGTCCTTGTCATAGTGATGATATTTGTGTCCTCAAAATTTCCCTCGATTTTTTTTTTTTTAAATTTTTATTTCAGAGAGAAAGGGCGAGGGAGAGAGAGAGCTAGAAACATCAATGATGAGAGATAATCATTGATTGGCTGCCTCCTGCACACCCCCTACTGGGGATCAAGCCTGCAACCCGGACATGTGCCCTTAACTGGAATCGAACCCAGGACCTTCAGTCCATAGGCTGCTGCTCTATCCACCTAGCCAAACCAGCTAGGGCCCTTCGATTCTTATTACTACTTTTCTATTCTAACGGTAAAATGTGAAATATTAGTAATTAGGATTTTAAATATAATTAAAGCAAAATTCTGAATTGTCACTGTGATCAATTTAATATTGTCATCAGAGGCAGAAATAAAACTACTTTTTCTACAGAACCTTAAGAAGCTTTATAAGCTCATTGTTGGGTTGTTGTGGATGCCTGGTAATAATTTATTCTTGGTTATCTTAGAGGTTCCTTTACACATTTCAAGATGGCCCAAGAAATTAGCAGTTAAACTTCTCAGAAGTTAATCTGTGATCTGAGGCTCCTCTTTGACTTGCCATAGAGTAGAACATGTTTTAGCAACAGTTCTAATAGCGTTCTTTATTTGTTCAGGGTTGTTGGGTAATGGACAAACAAGCAAGTATACACACGCAGTCATAGGTAATGCCTATGACTTCAAACTCAAATCAGAGCTCAGGATGGTGAGACATTTTATGATATTTTATAAGTGGAAGTACCAAGGGATGCTTTAGTCTAACACTTCTCTATAATCTGGACAGTTACGGGGAAAGGACTAAACCAAAAGCTTGTATTCAGCCCCCATGTTGTTAACACCATTTTGGTGACTCTGAATAAGTCCCGTTATACTCCATGCTTTGGTTTTCTCTGCTATAAAGTGGGAATGCTAAAGGAAGTGACCCCAGAGATTCTTGTTTAAGAATACTTTGGTTTGGAAATTGCTTTTCCTTCTTCATTGTTTTCTTACTAATCACTCTGTTTTTCTCTTGAAGGGTCAGATGACTTGTCTGCAAAACTGTGGGATGTGAGCACAGGGCAGTGCGTGTATGGCATACAGACTCATACTTGTGCAGCAGTGAAGTTTGATGAGCAGAAACTTGTGACAGGCTCCTTTGACAACACTGTGGCCTGCTGGGAATGGAGTTCCGGAGCCAGGACCCAGCACTTTCGGGGGCACACAGGGGCTGGTGGGTTGCCCTTTTCCAAGGGTTTACATAGTTATTTTACTCTCATTCCGTAAAGCCAGGAGCAAGAATGTGGTAACTTTTTTGTTTTGTTTTTTTTTAACTTAACTTGCACTCTCCCCTCTCCTTTCTCAGTCATGACAATTAATCTCTTTATTCAAGTCATTATTATTTGGTATCTTTCCATGTACTATTTTAAAACTCTAGCCGAAACCGGTTTGGCTCTGCGGACTGAAAGGTCCCAGGTTCGATTCCGGTCAAGGGCATGTATTGGTTGCGGGCACATCCCCGGTAGGGGGTGTGCAGGAGGCAGCTGGTCGATGTTTCTCTCTCATCGACGTTTCTAGCTCTCTATCTCTCTCTCTTCCTCTCTGTAAAAAGTCAATAAAATATATTTTAAAAAAACCCTCTATCTATATATGCTTATTCTGTGAGGGGACAGTTTTTCTCTCCTATTTCATTTATATCCTGTTGAACAGTCAGTCCCCTTTGCCTTCATCAGGTTCCTTACCTCCAAATTGAGTAAGTCCTACACTTACTGGTATATATTCAGTCTACTTTATTTGTAGAAATAGAGCTAAAATCTTTTGGAGTGATTTCTATGATCTGTTGAATTGGACCTTGGTTGACAATAACAAGCCACAACCTAGAGATAAGGTGAAAGAAACAGAATATTTCCCAATAATTTTACAGCAGCCTTAATTTGTAGAAGCTGAATTTGATGATAGCCTAGAGACCTGAGCTGCTTCCTCTGTGCATTGTATTTTGGAATTTTGTCCAGGAATCATTGAGCTGTTTTCCAGCCTCTTGTACAGCAACTCCCTTCCTCCATGTGCACACTGCATTCATCCCTGGAAGTCACATAATGCTCTTAAGTATCACATTTTATGAATGGCCTTCCTGGACTCCCTAACAAGTCGAGTCTGCTGTAGGTTTCCTATAATCTGTATTTTTGTCATAACACTCACCATACAAGTAAGTATGATAATCTTGATTTCCTCACCAGGTCATAAGCTCCAAAAAGACAAGGATACTACCTGTCTCCTTCACCTTAAGGTCCCCAAGTTCCTTGCACCATACCTGGTATTCAGTAATTCTTTAAAGTAAACCTAGCTGTTTTATTGCTAAAAGCAAATTTTTTTTCCATTTTTGTTTTTCATTCCATACATTTTCCCCCTACTCTCTGCTACCACTTGTTTATTGTAGAAATTAGTATTTGAAGATACTGTGGCTTTTCCTAACTCCATGCCTTTGCTGTTCCCTCTACCTGCAATGTTCTCTCTTCTTTTTTTCTTCTTTTTTTAATATATATTTTATTGATTTTACACAGAGGGGAATTGAGAGGGACAGAGAGAGAGAAACGTCGATGAGAGAGAAACATCGACCAGCTGCCTCTTGCACACCCCCGACTGAGGATGTGCCTGCAACCCAGGCACATGCCCTTGACTGGAATCGAACCTAGGACCTTTCAGTCCACAGGCCGACGCTCTATCCACTGAGCCAAACCGGTCCCGGCCTCTTTCTTTTCTTAATAAACTCTACTCATCCTCAGCGCCCATCTTCAATATTGCCTCTTCCCTGACGTCCTCCCTGATACCCCTCGGCAGAGTTAGTCCTTGGTATTTCCTTAGCAAGAGGTAACTTTCCCCTCCCCTACATCCTCCACTGCTTACTTAGATTGAGGTCCTTAAAGAAAAGACCACTGTCTTTATCTTTGGGTCTCTAATATACCTTTAGAGTTTGGTAAACATTGAAAAACAAATATTTGAGCACTTGCTATATACTCAGGCACTGCTTTAGGTGCTGGAGGTATAGCTGTGAAGAAATGCAGACAGTTTTGAGAGAATGTCTTAGTCTGACCTTTGAGATCCTTGTTTGTGTTTTGTTTTCTCATTACAATGGCTTTTCTTGAGTATAGATATTGGTTTGCAGCTTATATACTTGATGTTTTGTCTAACTGCAATAAATAGTGTAAATATGACTAGGGCCACCTAGTTCTATTTCCCTGCATAAGTTAGATAAGTTTTCTGTAGTGTCAGGCAGACATTCTGGAGAAGAATTGCATCATCTCCAACACTGGTTTTGCCTCTCACTTGGAAGCTAACACAGGCATAAAAGGTGATTAGTTCAGTGACTTTTCCATTCTTAGAATAATAAACAATAACAAGAATTTTGAAATGGATATAATTTTTTTCATAAAGTTTCTAGTTGAGTGGTACCATTCTTATTGTACTCTGGTTGAGAAATTATAAAATTGGTCAACTAGGGAGAATAAACACTATTAAACTCTATTATAAAAGACTCAGACAAGCATGTTTTAACTTTGTATCTGTTATATATTAGTATTTAGTGTCGACTACAATGATGAACTTGATATCTTGGTGAGTGGCTCTGCAGACTTCACTGTGAAAGTATGGGCTTTATCTGCTGGGACATGCCTGAACACACTCACCGGGCACACGGAATGGGTTACCAAGGTAGGAAGACTTGCAAAAGAAATCTCCTTAACATCAAGTTTTGTGGGGATAGGAGACGGGAGATGGTGCATGCTGCCTTAGAAGTGGTGGGTAAGCCATAAAATGGATAAATGCAACCACCAAGCATGATGATGTACAACAGTTAAAGACCCTGTAAATATGAATGACTTATGGACATGGAAAGATGCCTACAGTATAATAGGTATGTACAGGGAGCAAATAAAACAGGTCACATACAAAAAACTATGTAGAATATGATACCATTTTCTTAATGTGTTTATGCACCAAAATGTAGAAGACATATTATTTCTTGTGGAATTGTGGGTCATTTTTTTCCTTTTAGGATAAGTGTATTTCTTTTTTTAATCAGAAAAGCCACTTTCATTTTGAAAAAGAAAATAATTGCAAGAAGTAGAATAAATAAACATGTATAGGATCTTTAGAAGAGTATTGTGATGTTTTCTAGTTTTCAATAAAAGATTGCTGTAAAGATGGAATGCAGTATTTTTTTTCTTTCAAATTTTTCCTTTATAATGCACATGCTTATGAAAACAGATGATTTATATTTATTTCTATGTCTGTGGGCTTTTTTCTGTTCCTCCCATTTTCTATAAAGCAGTGGTCAGCAAACTGTGGCTGTTTGGCCCCTTGAGTGTGGCTCTTCCACAAAATACCACATGTGGGTGTGCACATACAGTGTGATTGTGATTGAAACTTTGGCCCCTCTACCAATGGGACTTTGGCTCTCAAAAGAAATTTCAATCGTTGTACTGTTGATATTTGGCTCTGTTGACTAATGAGTTTGCTGACCACTGCTATAAAGTAACATTTTACAGTTTTTAAAACCAGTCCTAATTTTTGCTTTCAGACTAAAGCCACGATTAAATGCTGCCAACATTAGACATTTTAGATTCTGCTGATAATTTAGAGACTCTGGTTGTAATAAAACCCTTGGTGGAGGTTAACTTGGTCATAGAGTTTTAGCTCAGCTACTTTAGCATACAATATCATTTCAAACTTTTTCATATTTTAATTTTTTAAAAAAGCAATGTAGCAGTAGCATTAAAAAGATCTTTCTGTAATGTGGATATTTATATTTCTAGGTAGTTTTGCAGAAGTGCAAAGTTAAGTCTCTCTTGCACAGCCCTGGAGACTACATCCTCTTAAGTGCAGACAAATATGAGATCAAGGTAAGTTTTTTTCTATTGTCATCAAAGAAGGACTAGCCAGTATAAGAACATTAAAATTAAAATTAAATTTTAAAGTACGTAGACAGAAATGTCTTAGTCTAAGACAGGGGGATTATTAATTATCTCTATGTTATGGGCAGTTTAAAACCCTGATTTTTATTTGTTTTACGTGTGTGTGTGTGTGTGTGTGTGTGTTTTGTTTTTTATTTAGAGAGGGAGAGAGAGAACACAGTGTGAGAGAGAAACATCCACCCACTGCCTCCTGGAGATCGAGCCCAACCTGGGCATATGCCCTGACTGGGAATCGACTGGCAACCTTTTAGTACATGGAACAGTGCTCAACCAACTGACCCACACAGGCCAGGGCTAACTAATTTTTAAATGAAGAAAAGAAAATCCACAGAAAATAATCTTTAATGTATTCTGTTTTTTTATGACATGTATCTTCTACCCTCCTTAATTCTTAGGTCTGAACTATGAAAACATAAACATTTATTTGTATACTAAAAAAAATTGAAAAAAGTAATCTTAGTCCAACTTTAAATTGTTCCATGTGGTAGACATTATTATCCTCATTGTGGGTACTGAGGTTCAGAGAGATTAAGTATTTAATCCAAGGCAGCACAGCACATACATATAGAATCAGAGTTTGAACTCAACTGTAAAATCTGTTTTTCTAGTTTACTTCACTTTATATCTGACTTCAGCAGGCAAAAGCCACATTAAGGGGACAGGCTTTTCTATGGTGATGCATCTGTCATCTCTCCTGATTTTCTTTTATCCGTAGATTTGGCCAATTGGGAGAGAAATCAACTGCAAGTGCTTGAAGACGCTGTCTGTCTCTGAAGATAGAAGTATCTGCCTGCAGCCAAGACTTCATTTTGATGGCAAATACATCGTCTGTAGTTCAGCACTGGGCCTCTACCAATGGGACTTTGCCAGTTATGATATTCTCAGGTAATGTTTCCTTGGACCATTACCTTTGACAGTTCTTTGTGGTTTCTTTATTTTTTTGTTGCAGTTTAATATTAAAGAAAAGACTAAATGTTGGGTAAACCAGTCACTTGCTTTGGGGAAATCTTTACATAGTTGTAAACAGGGTTATATGCTGAAAACCTCAGACATAAAAAAATGTTTTAGAAACATAATTAGAAAGGCTTATATTCTAGAACCTAGTTTCTAATTGTTCCCCTTACTGTGAGTTACTGCCTCTTTCAGAATTAACAAGCTTTTCTGGAAAATGAGGGTCTTAGATGAAAAGATCTTTTACAACTCCTCCAGCTCTAATATTTTAATTTCTGCTTCCTAATTAGTTGAAATTTTTTATTAAAGGATTTAGTGGCCTTCTGTTGACTAGTAGAAACACAGGTATTTAGAGAAAAACAGACTTGCAGAGAAATAAATAAGAAAAGGTCCATGGACAAACAATTTCGTGAGACCACTCTTGGAGATTGGTGGTATCTGTTAGCATTTGGAGTCTAATGGAAGCCAGCACCATATGGTGATTAAGAGAACTTACTTTGGTGATAAACAAACCTTGATTTAAGATCTAGTGCCATCGCTTATGAGCTGTGTCATATTGTGTAAGTGTAAGTTTCTTAATCTCTCTGCCTTAGTTTCTTACCTGTAAAATAAAGAGTAAATGAAATGCCTATAATGATGACCTAGCACAAGACCTGGTAGGTATTCAATACTAATAGCTCTGAGAAGTCCTACATAAAGAAACCTGTTTGAATTTGTTTAACCTACTTTACCTAACATTTATAGTACTAAAGCTCCCCCCCCCCCCTTTTTTTTTTTTTGAGGAACACTTATTAACAGCACATAAGAGTTAGTGTTCCACAGCATGGTTCAGGAAATGATGGCTTGGGGAAGTAGAGAAAATTGAACATTCTCTTCATTGTTTTTATGCATGACTGTTTGAGGTCAGCTCATATGGGATCTGAGCCTATTAGCCAACAGGACTTTGATGGGCCCTGTCTCTCTACTCGTAAAGGTTGTAACAATCCCATTTATGTCTCCCTGAAGGCAGACCTACATTTCTAATCAATTAGGTTGTCAAGCTGTCTATGCTTTGAGGAATAAAAGAACAGATCCTGGAAAACTAGTCCAAGCTCTTCATCTTGAAGATGTGGAAACTGAAGAGGAGAGAGTATAGGGACCTTGCCCATTATCCCACAGCACACCCTAGTTCAGCATCCATCATTTATCCATCCATCCATCCATCCATTTATCCACAGCTGGGTCATATAGCAAGCATGTGCTTAAAATACTACAAGCCACAGAGAAGGAACTTTTGAAAGAACTTGATACTCTACAAAGAAAAAATCTAAGCAGTCATCATGGGGAAATCAGATCATTTGCAGTTTAATTTTGTTTATGTTTTGAATTAAAATTGGGGAGGAAATGATGCAAAGATAAGGTAAAAATAGAGGTATCACCATCTTTTAAATGCTTAGAGTCTCTAAAGGTTTTAATTTTATCCTTTCTCATGTATTCTTACTCTGAATATACAGTAGAGTCCAGAGTCCTGGTGAAAGTTCTTTTAGATTTTGGTATTTGGAGCCACTAGTTTTAAATAGTAAATCTACAAGATTGTTTACTTCTAGGAAGTGATAGGTTCAGATTTTCTTTGAAGGTGGCTATTTTTTCTCTTGCTTCCCCTTCCCCTCAAACACAAATAAATCAACCTCTTTTGAAATCTTAGTACAAATCTTGTGGCTTCAGTTGCCAAGACCAGGTAGGGCTACTTACTCTTAGAAGCAAACTGAAAACAGGAAAGCACAAAGGGCAGCAAATTGTTCAATTCATCTAAAATGCAGTCACTTGAACTGGGACTGCACCACAAGGATGTCCTTTTATAATTCTCAAGTTATTAAAAAGTGCTACTGTGAGCCAGACAAAACCTCTATTCTGCCCTAACTGGTTTGGCTCAGTGGATAGAGCTTCAGCCTGAAGACTCAAGGGTCCCAGGTTTAATTCCCGTCAGGGTCATGTACCTTGGTTACAGGCACATCCCCAGTAGGGGGTGCAGGAAGCAGCTGATTGATGTATCTCTCTCATAAGTGTATCTAGCTCTCTATCCCTCTCCCTTCCTCTCTCTAAAAATCAATAAAATATTAAACACACACATACACACACACACATACAAAAACACTTCTATTTTATTCTCCAGCATATTTGTGCTTCAGTCTTTGGAGTCACCTCATCTCACTTTACCAGGCTAAAGTTCTATCCCCTAGTTTTCTAAGTTGCTGATTATTTCCTGCTTTGCATTGATGTGGGACTAATAGATTTTCTTGCTGTTTTTCCTAGTTTCTTTCGGATCTCTTTTGTAGGAATTTTTATTTGTCTGTGTTCATTGCACCATTGCTCTGTTTATTAGCAGATATTTATTGAGTACCTCCCTGTGTTAGGCATTGTGATGTACCCTGGGAACTAGCAGAAATACTTACCAAACTGGAAATTACTAGCCAGCAGAATAGAAGACTGACATTAAATAGCTAATAACAGGTAGATGTTTTGATGGTTATGATAAGAGCAACATAGTATTAGGTACTTGGAGATCTCACCTAGTTTGAGGAATGAGGAAAGCTTCCTTGAGGAAGAAGTTTGGGCTGAGCTCTAAGGATGAGTATTTGCATTGACTCAGTGCCAGGGACACAGTGAGGAGCATTGTAGGCTGAGAGACCAGTCTGGTTAGAGGCCTTGAGACTGAAGGAGCCTGCCCCGTGCACTTAAGGAACTGTAAGAACGCCAATGTGGCTGAAGATGGGAGTTCAGTAGAGAGCCATAGAAGGGTTTAAAATTTAGATGAGATGCTAATAGAATTAGATTTTAGTGTGAGCTTAACTAATTGAAAGGGGCCAAGAATAGATATAGGGAGACCAATTGAAAACACTTGGCAGTTTTGCAGTTGAAAGATGATGTCTTAGCCTAGAATTGTGGCAATTCTGATAGTTAAAATCAGTAGATCTCCGTGTTTGAATTTATGGTTTCAGTAAGGAAAAGAGGTGGATGCTTGCCATGTTTCCTAGCTTGAGCAACTGGGTGAATGAGCAACCACGGATATAAAGAAGAGAAACAGGTTTGGTTAATAATAAGTTCAGTCCAGGACAGGTTGAGTGTGAGAAACAGGCCTTCTTCACTACTTAATCCCCTCCCTAATACCAAACTGAAGTCTGCTTCTTGTGTAATTCTCTTCCCTTGGGCCCTAGTTCTCTCTTCTAGAGCTTGCACTGTCTTGCCTCTCACACATCCTTTACTCCTTTAAGGTGATGATTATGTATACTTTCTCTGTCCCTGCCAATTCTCTTCCTCCCCCTCTTAGCCGATCTCCTTCAGCCATTTCTAGCTTTTCCTGGTTAGCAGGTCCTGCCGACTGGTTGACTCTTGGACATAACACTAGATGGTAGCATCCCTGTTAACCCGGCCCTTCATGGGGCCCAAACTTACTGCCCAGGGCAGAATTTGTAGATTCCTCTTGTAGCGCTTTTCCTTGGGCCTCTAAAGATAATGTCAACTTTTCTTGTCCATCTTTTACCTCACTAAAGGTATAGACAACAGAGACTTAAGGTTTTTTCTGTGCTACCCTTTTCCTAGATCTTTCCAATTTTATACCTTTGTCATTGATGTCTTGGGAACTGTGAACCTGAGAAGGTTAAGGTTATCCTTCCAACTTCCCATATTCTCTAGCAGATTCTTATGAATATATTATTAATGTTTCTGGATTACTTGGGAAACTTAATATTTTTAGTCCCTACCCTTTTAAAGAAAAACCTATGTGTTTGCTACCTGCTGAGAGTAGTGTTCAAGGATTTGATGAATAAATCTTTTCACCTAGTGGTAAGAGTTGACTCTTACATTTGAGTTCTCTCTGGTATTTGATTAGTTGTGAATCCTTAGACAGAGTATATTTATCCTGGCTGGACTTTAGTCTTTACATCTTAGAAATGAAAATGTCACATGAGAATACAAGAGATCCTTTCCATCTTGGATGGGCATTTGTGCTTTTACAACTGTTTATCAAATACTGCCTTTCTCCTTACATGCCTGTGTTATATTATTATGAATTCTTACCCACTTCCCTCCCCCCCCCCCCGCCCCGTTTTAAAATAGGCTGAACTTTTTGTCCTTGTATTTTCCTTTTTATCAAAAACTTTCATTTAACTCTCTAAACTTGCTTGAATTGTATATTGCTTTTAAATGTCTCCAGAAAAGATTGCAGTAGCATAAACAAAAGCAAAGTTAGTTACCTTCTGGTTTATGTTACTTATTCTCATCCTTGTAGAGTTATCAAGACTCCCGAGATAGCAAACTTGGCCTTGCTTGGTTTTGGAGATGTCTTTGCCCTGCTGTTTGACAACCGCTACCTATATATCATGGACTTGCGGACAGAGAGCCTGATTAGCCGCTGGCCCCTGCCAGAGTACAGGAAGTCAAAGAGAGGCTCAAGCTTCCTGGCAGGCGAAGCTTCCTGGCTGAATGGACTGGATGGGCACAATGACACGGGCTTGGTCTTTGCCACCAGCATGCCTGATCACAGTATTCACCTGGTGTTGTGGAAGGAGCACGGCTGATGCCATGAGCCACCACCGCTGACTGACTTTGGGTGCCGGGGCTGCAGGGTTTGAGTGCAACCTCTATGGCAGCCGACTGCATGAACCAAAGTTCTCACCTAACGGTATCATCACGCAGTGCACAATCATTTATCTGTTTGCCAGGGGGCCAGGGCTCTGGGTGGGGGAGGGCTCGTTTTACTGACATACATCACAGCATGCTAATGGGATACACCATTGACTTCATTTGTATTTAGTTATGTTGGTCAGAATAAGAGTATGCATTTTGGGTTCATCTTTCTTGAATATTGGTTTTAAGTAAAGAAATTTAAATGGTTCATTAATATGCTAATTGGTTGCCTATAAAAACACATTCAGTCTATTATTAAAGCTTTTTATCATTGCCTTTTTTTCTTTTGAAGTTGAAGCAACGGTGCTATGATGTTTTACAACTTTCTCACATGGAACTTAGCTTTTATAACAGTGTTATAAAGACCACCAAGTCCTGTGACATTCAAAACTCTCTACCAAATACCAGCTCTAAAGAAAATCTGTCTTCCAGTACAAATCCAAGTCTATAAATTGATTGTAATGTAGTCTAATCTCTGGTTCTTGGCAGAGTCAACGTTAGCCACAGCTGAGCTGTGAGGGAGTTCTGTCATTTCTGTTTATATCTGGAGCAAGCTGATTCTCAGTCTCCCAGGTAACTGCACAGAGGTGACATGGTGGAGTGGAAGATTGAAGATTGGCTCTCTTACCTAGGCATATCACTCCCCTGGCCCCTTTCTTCCTGTCTGTATAGCTAGTGGTTAAGCTCAGTAATTTGTAAGATTATTTCTGGTTCTGCCACTGCTGAATTGTGCAGAAGTTGACATTTGTTTTGTCTGATTCCTGATTCATTTGTTTCTTTGGGGTATGAAATCACTGATACAAAGTTGTCATCTATAAGGAAATAAAATGTATGAAAAGGATGGCTAAAAGGAGAATGTAGAAAATACACATATTCCACTTAGAAGATGTAAATAATTGGTGGAAGAAATGCTTATAGGAGTTGTGGTTCTGTAGAAAGGCAATGTGCTACATTAGAAAGGCCCCTGGCCCTGACTGATATCTTCCCCTTCGGCCTCCAACTTGATGTGTGGCTTCACGCAGATTAACTCTGTCCCTGGGCCCTCTTTTTTTTTTTTTTTTTTTTTTTTAAATCAGACAATGAAGGAATTGCCCTAGATTAGGGTTCACAAACTCACATAAAACATAAATGAGTGATGCATGCTGGTAGGATTGTGCTGACCCATGGAAAGCTTATTGAATAGGGCAGTTACTCAGCTTAAGTGTTAGGCATAAATGAACTCAATGTTAGCAGGTCTGATCTTTCAGGAGGAAGTAGAAATCCAGAATTTTATTGGAAAGGCCCTGATTTTAAAAAATGTTTTCAACTAATTGAAGATAATTTAAAATACAGTGTGCTAAACAAATCGTATACATGGGCTGTCAGTTGGTGTCCTCCAACTCTCATTGCTGTAAAGTTAAAGAATACTGTGCTTCAGCAGAAGAAATGTTTTATCATAATTGTCTGACCACTCAACTGTCCCATTGTGTTACAGAGGAGTGAGGGGCTCATGTTTCATTCACAGACAGGAAAGTAGTTTAGAGACAACACAAGAACTAGCACCTCAGTGAGTGCTTCTGCCTGGGAACATGAATTATTCATTCTTCTTGCTGACTATAATATAAAGCATATCTTAGGTGGGGCAAAGGGGTTCCCAGCAGAGCTGAGAATGAGGCAGACTTTATAGAGGAAGAAGGGCGGGGGGACAGCTCTCCCAGAATCTGCATTAGCAAGAGCCTGACATTGGACCTCTGACTGCTGTCGAGTTTAGAGAATTGAAGGTCAGTTTCAAGGACAGGTTTAGTTAATACCCATGTTGACACTAAAGGAATTCGGTAAAAGAACAATATCTTCATTCACCTCATACTGAGTTCTGTGTGTGAGCTCTGCTTGGTCCTCTAAGAAATGGAATTGCAGCTGCAGTCTGTTTTGCAGGAGCCTCAGGAGACTGGGCAGTGAGGATAAATGACTTTTTTCCTCTAGTGCGGCTAAACAGATTACTGATTTCATGGCCATTCCTACTCCCACCTCATTTTGAGATATATTCAGTAGCTTCAAAGAGCAAGTAATTCATATCATAGTCATTTGTGGGGAATTGTTTTTGGAAATGACAAACCTGAAACTTGTATGGTGTGTTCTCCTTCCAAGTTCAGTGTGAATAGCGAAGTTCTCAAGGTGGTGCTTAGTGGGGCGGATTTTGACAGCAGTCCTTGGGGTAAGGATTGGAGTCCTAACCGAGTCCTCTCACAGCTTCCTTCATTGCACCAGGGCATTTTACTTGATTGCTTTATAGATGCTAGATTTAGTCATATTATTGCCAGCTTTTATAAAAAACGGGATTCTAACTCATCCTTTAAAAAGATTGAACAATGGGGAGTCGGTAAAAGAAGTGGTCCAGGGATAAGAAGCTGTGGTTGCTTAGCTTTCTTTCACTGAGTTAGGGGGCTGCCTTCCACACACGGCGATGTCTGCTTCCTTAGCTTGGAGGCAAGGGATTGCCTTTGCTGCATCTGTGAAATTCTCATTTCTGAAAAATTCCAAAGTCATGAGCAGGTGGACTCCATCTTTATTCGCATTGGATATCTTGAGTGACCGTGAGTTTGGGGGAAGAGAAGGGCTTCTCTCGGGTTCATACAGGCACATAACAACCAGGCTCCAGGGTGCAGGGGTCCGGGACAGCTGAGTGAGCATGAAGTTTGTAGCCAACTTTGTTCCCATTACAAAGGAAGCTAGTTTCCTCCGGCCTGGCCCTATTATTTGAAGCCCTCATTGTTGTCAAAACTGGTTCTAACATCCTTCAGAAAGGGGGCTCCATTTTGAAGAAGTTCAAAGGAAGGATCATATGTTTGGATAGCTTCTCCTGAGTGGAAGGTGGAGACTGTTGTTATTCAGTTTTAAGATTTACACTCAATTTTTCATAGTTTAAAAATTATTCTGGCCATTGAAAATGCTTAGTGTAAAGTGTAATTGAGGATTGTGTGATTATACTAGTATTTGCTCTCAGGAGAATGACCACTGCATTTATAAAATATCTGTATTTATAAAATATCTTAGGGAGAAAAGAAATACATGTGGAAACAGTATTATTTTAGACATGAAGAAATTGTTTCTGTTAGATTAGACTTTTTGCCCAAGCAAAAGAAGCTAAGGATAGTGGAGTTTGGCTTTACTTGCTTTGGCCAAATCCATACAGCTAGCTCCTTGAAGCTGTGATTGCGTGCTCTGGCTTCTTGGGATCCTCAGGTTATGTCTTCCCACCACCATTTCTAGCTTTCTGTGCCTCCTTCCCTGGGCCTCTTGCAGGCCTAGGTGATTGAATCAACTGCCTTTCTCTGCAGGAAAATGTGCAGAATCAGATCACTGCTCCAGGATGCAGCCTGGGGTAGGGCACTCTGTCACCCTTGTCTTTAAGGACACGGAGTTGTCAGGATAGGGGAGAAGTCCTTTATGTCTGTCCTCCTACTCAGCCTTTGTATCTGGTTATGCTGGTGGTTGACAGGATATTGAAGACAGCCGAGACACTGTTGAGAATTACTCAATCCCCAGATGGAGTGTTTGATAAAAGGAACAGAAATGTCCACTAGTGGTTTTTGGCAGGGTCTCTGACCAGAGGTTCCCTGTGAATTTTTTCAGGATCAGTCCTTATGTGGGTGGGTGACTGAATAGTCTTGGGCCACTCCCATCAGCCAAATCAAGCTGAATGATCATGCTCCTGCAAAAAGATGTTTTGCTGTCAAGTTGTTTCAGTGTGCTTCCAGACTTCTCTAGATGGTTTCCTTGTTTTAAGTTAGTGCTACAGGCCTGACCATTGTAAACGCACTGAATTATTATAGCTGAAAGAATCAGCTACTTCTCTTTAGGAATATGCTCAAATAAAAATGTGTTTGCATTTTAAAAATATATATTTTTATTGATTTCAGAGAGGAAGGGAGAGGGGAAGAGAGAGAGGAACATCAATGATGAGAAAGAATCATTGATCAGCTGCCTTGTGCACACCTCCTACTTGGAATCGAGCCCACAACCCCAGGCTTGTGCCCTTGATCAGAATAGAACTTGGGCCCCTTCAGTCTGCATGCCGATGCTCTATCCACTGAGCCAAACTGGCTAGAGCTGTGTTTGCATTTTTAATCTAGGCAAATTATTCAGATGATACAATCTCAACAGTTTTTTGGAGTCCCTGTACTCACATTGTGAACAGACACATTTCACTAATTTAGATGTGGTACTCTTGATGAGAAGGCTCAGGTTGAAAAAGGCTGGTCTCACCAATCCAACATCTAGGCAATGTGGCTAGTTTCGTCAACTCATGTTTCCCTAATTTGATGTATGTTGTGGTCCAGGGGGAATGAGGGGAAGTTTATATTTGAACTGTGTGGGGCAGGGGGGGAGTAGGAATTGCTTAAGTAGTAGAGTGATTGGGTTACAAGGTGTCTCCATAAGACATTTTCATGCATCAGAGAACTTTCTTTTAACCATGAGTGATCGTGCTAACTATAAGTAATTTATTCCTATACATTAAAACAGGTTCCTCAATTAGGCAACATTTGGTTAGCCACGCTGAAGTTATTGTTTGTACTTGAAAATAATAAAGCTGCATTTCCTTAAAAATACATTCTGTAAAGACTATTTTCTTATCTTCCCTTCCCCCCCTAACCAATTTAGAGGGGACTTTTCAGAAGTGAATGTGTTTTTAGAGATGGAACTGCCTCTCGTAATTGGAAGTGGCTCTGTTCCTTTACTTTTTCTGCATGTACTGGAGTATAAGCCCAACAAAATACTGATTTGGGATGAGATCCAAGAGGGAAAACAATATTCTTAAAATGCAAGGAAGGAATTTTGGTGACTCTCATGTGTAGATGCAAATGAAAAGAAGAAGAAAAAAGTACCATTACATAGTTCAAGACCTTGAAATTATCTTCCTCTCTTTTGTCCTTCTCTGCTCAGCACATGCCCGAGTTGCTTCATTCTTTCTTCTTAATTTAAATTTGTAGGACTCCTTGTCACCAGACATGGTCCTGTATCTTTGCTCCTCAAAAGTACCATTATAGGGCAGATTATCATACCTCTTATCAATAAGAAAGCTGAGGCTTGGCCCTTACCGGTTTGGCTCAGTGGATAGAGTGTCAGCCTACGGACTGAAAGGTCCCAGGTTCGATTTCGTTCAAGGGCATGTACCTTGGTTGCTGGCACATCCTCAGTAGGAGGTGTGCAGGAGACAGTTGATCAATGTTACTAACTCTATCCCTCTCCTCTGTAAAAAAAAAAATATAAAAAAAAATAAAAAAAAAAAAGCTG